ATTGGAGTAGAACAGGGAAACGAAGGAAATATGGAGAAACCACTGTTAGACATGTAACTAGAACATTCAGAGGACTGAGGGGTAAAAATCATTTCTGAACTACACTTGAGAAAGCAGGTGCAGAAGAAGAAGCGGATTAGGCAGTAAAGGGCCTTGTTATAATGGTGGGCCAAACAAGTAGCCCTCAATAGAATATAAGGCTGGGTAATGCTCCCCTTTATTTTTCTGTAATTCTATTTTAATATATGAGAGATATTATTAAAAAGCTGAACCAATTAATGCTTAAACACATGAACTTAGGATTCAAAATCCCTAGGTTGGACTCTTGTCCTTTATAATTGTATTTGATCTCTTGGGTCCTCCTTCTTTTATGTAAGCTCTACCTGTCATAGCCCATGTAAGGATTGAATATACATACACACATTAAAGGTACTTGTACCTGAAATTCTGGACAAACTCCATACCACTTGGAACGTTTGGGTAGAGCTGGGCAGTGGTGGCACACGCCTTTAATCCCAGTACTGGGGAGGCAGAGGCGGATGAATCTCTATCTCTGTGAGTTCAAGGCCAGCCTGGTCTGTGAGAATGTTTGGGTAAAACTTGGATATGTTTTGAGGTTTCCCAAGTAGTTGCAACAAGCAGGCAAGTTTAGTCATGTACTAGCTGCTTCCCCATACAATGGAGAAGAGAGTAAAACAATAGACGCATACAGGGAGCAACCCACATGTTCACCACTTCCATGACTGTGCACTGTTTGTTATTAAAGAAAATCGGGTTATCTTCTATAATAAAAATGATACGAAACTGACGAAATAAAATCTCTGTCCTCATGGTGCTTGGCTTATCTCAACATAAATGCTCCTCCACAAAACTTAACCAATATCCAAGATTATTTTCCCTTTATTTGACCTTGGTCACCTACGGTCTTATTTAACTACCTCAGCTGTATACAGTTCTACAAAATACAAACATACTAAACGCTTTTAAATGCTAAAGACTTAGTTTTTTTTAATGCAGGGGCTTCCTAACATGTTGCTCAACCATGAATGCAAAATTAGGCATGTTCAGAACTTGTCTGAGCCATTCAGATGGCTGTGAGTCCTGCTCAGATAACTTGAGCAGCATTAAGTTCAGTTTTCCCTGTGACCCAGCAAAGGCACTACCACTGTCAATGTATGCCTTAATGTGAAAAAATGTTAGGGATCAATTACTGTGTTGTGAATGAACATTCTCACAATTGTCTTTGATTATGGATATTTTCCTCATTTTATAAATATTTGAAGTATATAGTTGAGACCCACGTATTCCAATAATTTAAATTATATTAATCAACTAGTGATCACAAAATCAATAAATAGCCTAATGGTCATTAATACAAGCAAAAAAATAATTCATAGTTCTTTATTAGATTACTACAAATGTTTACAAAGTACTCAGAAAATATGGAATATGGATTTTTCCTTTCAAGTGGTATACAGTCTCTCAGAGAATGAAATTTAATAAGAATTTGAAGAGATCTAGAGCATTCTCAATGATTATTTTACTTGAAATCTACAACTTACATTGACTGTGGACATAGCATCACATAATGTGATCAATCTTTATTCATGAATTCCAGTGTGGTAGTAATGGCCTACCTAGTCTGAAAGATCTATCGATTACTCAAGTATCAGAACTGAATCTTTCTTTAGTTTTAAGACCCCTTTTATAGCAATGATCCCCAAATAAACTGGTTACATCATAATAATAAACACATTGTTGGCCTATCACAAAAAGTTTCAAGCAGGAATTCTTAAGTAGCAAATTTATATTTTAAATGGGCAGATAAGCAGTTAGATTTGAGAGGAGAGCTAAAAATGAAAATGACTTAGTACTGACTTACAAATTTAAAATGTGTTCCATTTACTAGTTCCCATACACACCAAGCGGCAACTAGGAAACTTTAACGTCCATCGGTACCACTGGGTGGACTCAGATATTAAACAGGAAAATTTAAGGTTGAGATCAGTATCCCGCCTTCCCAAAGCTCCAAGGTGATGCTGACATTGCTGGGAGTCTCACTCTGAGAAATGCTCCACTCCAGCAAACAAACTCAACTTTCCCCCCTTGAAACTGGCTCTGCTGTGCCTTGCCCAGCTCTAGCCTCCTGAAGAAATGAGGTTATACCTCTCATACAAGCTTTGACGATTACATGAGAATGCGGGCGCTAGGGCAATTAGCCCACGTTAGGGATTCAGTAAACATCAGCTGTCTCATCATTGGCTAACTACGGCTATGAATAAGGACTTTCTGTCTTTGTTTTAACCGACAGAACAAAACAAAAACAGAAATACATATAAGCAGCTAAGTTTGGGATATGCCTTCTAGCACAGGATGCCGGCTCAGATCCTGTCCTGCTGCTGCTGTGGTGACCTTGGTACAGCACTCCAGTCTTATCACACTGCTCCAGACTGGATGAGAGTACTTGCTCTCATCCATCCACTCACAGGTACTGGCTACATCCTTTCAAATAACACCCTGGATGAGTCACCAGTATTGCACAGCATTTAGAGATCCCTTACAAAAATCCCTACAGATTCCAATAACATCCACCACAAAATAGTAAATTTCCACTCCAAAAACAAAAACAAATAAACAAGCAAACAAACAAAAAACAAAAACAAAACAACAATAACAAAAAACAAACAAACAAAGGAAACTGGAGCTCCAATAACAGTTGTTCAACCAGAACACAAATACAAAGCCAGTTTTCCTGAAATCCCCAAAACATTTTCCAGAGAAAACATTGCTATACATGGGAACTAAATTCAAGCCACTAGGAAAACTCTACATAAAAGGTGTTAAATGTTGGCTTCTTTGGGCTAGAAAAAATAAGCTAGAATAGATTTTTGATTCTCCTAACCAAGTTCCATACAACTTCAGCATTGAGTCCCCTCCCTTTCAAAAGGAATATACATGTCTTTGCTGAGTCAGCTAGTTTGCCTGGAATTTACCTTTCTGCTGAGTCAGCTCTTTGGTCTGGTATTCACTGCTATTTTAGAGGAAGTTCCTAGTCTCCATGAAATAAACAACTGGAAAACTTCAAAGAATGTTTTCCAGGCTATTCTCATGCACCTACCAACCCCAAACACATAGCTGACCCTTCCCCTATCCTTCGTTCTCCATAAATACCTCTTCCCAATGATCTGTTTCTATGAGAGCTCAACCTTTTTTTTTAAATTTTTTAATTATCAAACATTTCAAATTTTCAGAAAGACTGCACAAACCGTGCATATGTCTAGTATTAGATTCCATATTCTATTAATTGCTCAATTTAATACCCTCATAATACATTCATAATGTTCAATTTAATACCCTTACTCTACAAATCACATTGATTTAAAACTTAAAAAAAACCAGCAAGCTTTGATTGCACAACAATGATACTTCTATTCATCGGCTTTAGGACTCTTTTTTGAAATAGCCCTATACTGCAAGAAAGACTATTTGAGATTGTGAAAAAATTAATTCTACATCACACACAGAAGATGCACAGAGACCATGACTGTCATTTGTCTGTCTGTCTGTCTGTCTGTCTGTCTGTCTGTCTCTCTCTCTCTCTCTCTCACACACACACACACACACACATACACACACACCGCACTATGTGTTTTGGAGAAATACAACTTTGAGCCACTAAAAATGTTAATGAAGAAATTGGAATAAGAAGAACAATGGCAGGACAATAGAATGCACATGTTGGATTCAGATCTACTTTCTAGTAAAGATTCATAGGTTTACTCGAGGCAAAATGTTACTAGGGTAAGTTACACGACCTCACTAACTTTCCATTTTCCAGCTAAAAAATAGAATAATCTAACAACCTTCATGGGATTCTTAAAAGACTGAAAGAAAATATATGTGCAAAGCACTTGGCAGTTACCCATTTATAGCAGCTATCGTCACGTTATCGCTCTAAAACCACATATTTCCGTTTTAAAAAAAACCTTAATAGTGAAAATCCTGTCCGGGGGTAGGCTAGGAGGCTAATGCTGCAGTCAGCCATGCTTCCTACTTCTACAGCTAAGTCTTTCAGGACGCTGAAACGAGACAACCATTGCCACAAAACTCCAAGATTGGTAACTCTCAGGAAGTTGTCCAGAACCTAGAGGATGAGATCCAAAGGTCTTTACCAACAAGGGAGGACGCGAGGCCGTCTAATCGATAAGGTGCCGGGCGCGGCATTGACCTGCAACCTAGTATCTCACCGGGCGAAGCTGCGGGCACACGGTGCTTTTGTTCCTTGAAAGTGGGTGTGGAAAGCCAAGACAAGCAGAGTGATGGAGACTACGGAATGAAGCAGCCACCTCTCCCCACAGCAGAACCCAAACAACGCTGCACGCCTTTGTGCAAGGAGATTCAGTTACAAGTTAGGCAGCTCCCTCCGAGCTGAACTGCTTTCTCAAACCCGAGACATGAAAGGAGGAAGCGACGCGGGAAGTGGAAGAGAAATCAAGCCAGAAAAGGACCCTGGAGCTGGACTGTGACTCCTCCAAGACCACGTTGTCACTCGCCCCTGTTAGTGCCTCTGGCAAGAGCACGTGTCTAGGGTCCGTGGAGCGGAGCAGGGAGACAAAGCAAACACCTAAAGGCGGCAATGAGCCTCCGGCCATCGGGTCTGGCTCCGGTTCTCCACTGAGCTCCCGGTCCTCACCTGCCTCGGCTGCGGTCATCAAGCGATCCGTGGGAGATGCTTGAGCCCATCCAGGTTTCGGTTCCTCCCCTTTAACTGCGGGCACAAGGGTGAGGTAGGTGTTCGGGCAGAGGCGGCTCTCGGAGGCGTGGACCTAAAAATCTACCCTCTTCGGCAAGAGCGGAACGGCTGGCACAGCTACACTTCGGGAGCCTCCGACACGCCTCTTCCCCGCCCGCCCCCCCCACCGGTCTCACACCAAAACCGCACCGGCCGGGACAGTTTCCGCCGGACCAACGCTCCGCCTGAGCTTTCCTGTTCCACCACCGCCACGCCCCCGCAAAACTCCGACCCCGGTAGTTCCGTTTCCGGCAGCACCAGATAAGTCGCGAGAGGAAAGTTAAAACCTGCTGTTTGCATTTAGGACCACTTCGGTGAGTGGTCATTCTAGTGTGTTCTGTTATACCTCCCCCCTCCCCCCTTTTTTAAAAGTGAGACGTAACCTAATAATAACTTTAAAACGGACCCCTTGGACTGCTCTAAGGAAGGGTTTGACGAGGAGGTTTCGCGCAGGCGCCGTTGGGGCGGGAGGGCCTCGAGTTTTGCAAGGCGAGCGGAAGCTGGCTGCAAAGAGGCGAGGACTTGTTGGGCGCAGGGAATTGGCGGCTGTGAGATTGAGTTGTCAACGGTCATTTTCTTGCTTATGCAAGGATTAGCTGGAACTTGCCCTCGGGAGCTAGTTAACAAGCTGTCAAATGCTTGCGGAGCGCTCCGTCACTGGCGGCTGCGGAATGCTTGACTGCATTCAAAACTGCACTTGGCCGCTTGGCTGTCGCCGGAGAAGTCTCACCCTGAATCATGATGAAAACCTACACCAAAGTGAAGAAATAAACTCAAGGGGGAGTCTTAACACTCAACTTTAAAGGAAACGTACCCTTTCAAATCTCACAGAATTCTTTCGTGGATTTTTCGAACCTCGGTTGAGAATTTTCAAAATAGACATGAGTTTGTCCTGTGCGGCAGATTTTGGAAGTAAAGGGATTTCTTGTTAATTGTTTTACCTTAAGTGAGACAGATTACAGAGTGTTCTGGAGAATTGCCTCCCCAGTCTTCTCCCCGCCGCGTCCCAGTTAATACATAAATTGTGCTGGTTCAATTTTCAAATATTAAACTAGAGTAATTCATATGCCAGAATTCTCATCTCGAATTACTGTGTTTATTAAAACATTACACGCTTTATGTTTTTAAGTTGGAACACAAACTTACCTTCCACTGATTTTAACGGTAGCTTCGCGGTTAGTAGGAATGGTATGGGGAAACAAATCCTTATTTAAAGGGACATTTAATCGCGTTAATTTTATTAGATACACACGATAAAATTATTGAAGTTAAGCAATAAGTATCAGTAAAAATACTGGTTTTATGTAATGTTGTACACTAAGCATGGTGTGAAAACACTTAACCAAATAGCCTGATGATCTTGCCACAGTGAAGGTTGTTGTGATGAGCCATCTTCAATACCTTTTCTAACGTCTGAGTTCTTGAAAATATAAGAGTATTTTGTAAAGTCGTAAAATATTTTTATAGGTATGTTTTTCTTTCCATTTTACGCAATTATTGTTTGTGCTTTGCATCTGTCACTGTCTTAAGAACCAGCAGTTGATGAACTACATTAAATAGTAATGTAAGTCATGATAAAGTACATACACTGGGAGGCTGAGGCAGGAGAATCACCATGAGTTTGAAGCCAGCCCCATCTACCTACTGAGTTACTGAATTTTAGGACAGTACTGGCAACAGATACCCTAAAAAAAAAAAAAGAAAAAAGAAAGAAAGAAAGAAAGAGAAAGGAAAAAAAAAGCAAATAACACTCTTGCCAGGTCCTTTGAACTTTACTGTTAACAGTAAAATGTAGAGCTTGCTCTAAAATATTAATTACAGTAATAAAGGACTTTTAAATTTCGTGAACGATTTTGACAAAGGTTCTATTGCTTTAAGCAACTTGTTGAAAATTTATAACAATGACTATATATCATTTTACCATTTACAAAAGACTTTGAAATCCATTATTTCATTGATCTTTTTGGTTTTGGAAAAGGAGGGACAATTATTATGGCCTCCCCCCCCAACATGGTCACTAAGACGTAGGTAAATGTCCCACACCTGAAATTCTTACTCTCAGTTGATGCCTTCCAAACACCCCCTACTTGTGTCCTTATGTATTCTCACCAACAATACGCAGGTCTCTGGGTTTTGTTGCCTGCGTTTGTATACTCATGTCTTTATATGACTGTTGTGGACATTGTCCTTTGTCTAATGATGTTAAGTATTTTTCATGTACTTATTAATGATACCCCTTTTGTAGATGTTTGGTTCAGACTTCATGCCCATGCTTAGTGCTAGGCTGTTTGCTTTCTTGTTAGGCTTTGAGTTCTTTATCAATTCTTTGCCAGAGATCGGTACTACAAATATTCTTCCTTCAGCTGTGTTTCTTAGCAGTGTCTTTAAAAAGAGGTTGGAATCTTTTCCCTCAGAAGTGATGCTTTATACGTACTCCTTAGTCTAACAAGCTTACCAATATTTAATTTTGTTTTTCTTTTCTGGAAATGCTGTCATTTTAGCCCTTAAGTATGGGTCTATGGTCATTTGTGAGCTAATTTTTACATGTCCTGTGAGATAGAAGTTAGTGGTTTTTTTACATGGATGTTTAATTGGTCCAGCATTTCTTGAAAGCTCTCATTTCTTTGGGACCCTTGTTAAAAATCATTTTGCCATATCCGAGCGTCTGTTTCCAGACACAGTTCTGGCTGATAGACTGACAGTCACCATTTTATCAGTCCACAGTCTTAAGTCGCCCACTGTGAAAACTCTTAGGTCTGTCATTTTTCACAGTTGTTTCACCTCTTCTGAGCCGTTTGATTTTACATATCAATTTAGAATTAACTTACTGGATTTTACAAAAGAGAGGGTAAAATGGAAAGAAATTGTTTCTTTCTGAAATGTCTAAAAAAAGTCCCTGTCTGGAATATTAAAAAAAATAAACTGTAAGTCTCTCCCTTCCTAACAAAGAAAAAAACTAGGTAACTATGCTAATGTGCCAATTCTCCTCAAACTAGGATTGCATTGACTCTGTAGATCAATGGGAAGGAAATTGGAGTGTTAATGGTGTTATCTCATTTCATTCTTGTGTTCTTTATTTGTTAAATGTTGTCCCATCTTCTAAAGAATATCAGGCCTTCAGTCGTGCAAGTTTTCTTTCTGTAGCATGAATAAAACCCAGAGACAGATATTGGGGTTCAAGCTGAAGATGAGAAAAGCAAAGCAACCAACCAGGAGCTCTTACCTCTACCTCAGACCAAAGTGGGAGATCCTGTCTCCAGGAATCCTCAGACAGACTGAGCGTGAAACCTGTCTCCTCCTGTTTTATGTGCCTCTCTAGTGCTGGGATTAAAGGTGTTTACCACCACCGCCCAGCCTCTATGACTGACTAGTGTGGCTGCTTGGATTAAAGAGTGTGCCACCACTGCCTGGCCTGTATGGCTGACTAGTGTGGCTACTTTGCACTCTGATCTTCAGTAAGCTTTATTTATTAAATCACAAATAATCTACCACTATATCTTTCCTCTGTTTCCAATGGCCTGTAGTAGCCCTGGTGTTAGAACTAACCGTTTTGGATTATGCCTTTCATGAAAGCCAAATCTCCTATTTATTTATGTGCTAACTTACTTTCTTGAGCTGTAAGATAAGCAAAACAAATAAAAGGGATACAAATAGGAAAGGAAGAGCTCAAAGTATCCTTATTTACAAATATAATGATTTTATACATAAAAGACCATAATGACTCCCATCAAAAAACTCATAGGTTGGTTAAAACGCTTTGAGCAAGTGACAGGATAAAAAGTTAACATACAAAAATCTGTAGCCCTCCTACATATGATAAATAAGCATGTTGAGGAAGCAAGGAGAGAAACGTCCCCATTCACAGTTGTCTAAAGCTTAACAATACAACCTTACAATAAACTTCACCAACAAGGTGAAAGGACTCTGTAACACGAACTTTAAAATAAAGCCTGCTGTGTTTATGCCTTTAATCCCAGTGTTTGGGTGGCAGAGGCAGGCAGATGTCTGTGTGTTCAAGGCTAGCCTGGTATACATAGACAAACCAGGCAGGATTACATAGTGAGACCCTGTGTAAAACAAAACAAAACAAAAAAATAGAAGAAGAATCCCATGCTATGTTATGCTATGCTACGCTGTGCTGTGCTCTTGGGTTACAAGAATCTGTATTATGAAATGACTGTTTTACCAAAAGCGATGCAATCCAATGCCATTCTTCACAGAAATACTTTTAAAAAGTCAAAACTCACTTGGAAACACAAAAGCCCTCAAAGGAGCCAAACCAATCCTGAGCAAAAATAAAGAAGGCTAGATGGTACCACCATAGAGCAAAAGTAAAGAATGGTGGAAGGTGTCCCCATGCCTGATTTCTGTTACATTGCAGAACCATAGTGATGAAAAACAGTATGGTGCCAGCACAAAATTAAAGTTCCAGATTTTAACGTATGTAGCAACAGTCAAGAGATTTTTGACAGAGATGCCAAAATTTCTTGTTGTAATATAGACCGCCTCCTTAGCAAAGGGCGCTTGGAAAACTGGAAAGCTTCCCGTGGAGGAATGAAACCTAGATCCTTATCTCTCACGTTGCTTAAAATCAACTCCAAGTGTCTCAGAGACTTCAGCGTCAGACCTGAAACTCTGAAACTGCCAGGTGAAAAGGTAGGGAAAATGTAACCGGATATAGGCGTATGTGAGGACTCAGGAAATAAGGCCAAATAACACTCAAAAATGACACTGGAATAGTTGATATTGTCAACTTGACAGGCTTTGTCTAGAATGACCTGGGAAGCAAATGTCTCAGAACGCCTCTGAGGAATGAAATAGATGGAATTAGTTGAGCTGGGAAGACCTAGTATGGTGGCATCTCAGTCCTAACATTCATAGTATTCTACTTGCTAGGAGAATGCAGTGTATGGCTGCCTCACTCCAGCTGACTGACTTCCCTGTCGTGATCATGGTGCTTTCCAACTGTGAACCAGAATAAACCAGCACTTCCTGAGATGCTCTCGCCAGGGCTTTTGTAACATCAGTGACAAAAGTAACCAGTATAGCCACCTCACAGCAAAGGGAGCTGTCGGGGGAAGAGACAGCCTGTACAATGTGGAGACATCATTCTGAAGAAGTACACATCTGCTAGAGATGCAAAGAAATCAAAATCCTAAAATAAACAAATAATCCAGGTTTATAAATGGGTTAAGGATTGAGCAGAAAATTCTCCAAAGAGAAATACAATAACCAAAGCCATTTTTGAAAAAATTATCTCACATCTTTACCCACCAGATAACTGCAAGTTAAAACAAATTTGAAATGGCACCTTTACCCAGTAAGAGTGACCAGCATCAAGATATCCAGTGATAGAAAAGCAGGCCGAGGATGTGAGAAAAGGGAACTACTACTCAGCTTTGGTGGGGATGTAAACTGGTCCAGCCACAGTGGAAATAAGCTTGGGGGCTTCTCACAAAGCTAAAGACAGAACTCCTGTATGACCTAGCTGTGTGATTCTGGGCATATACCAAGGGTCTCTGTATCTTTTCACAGAGGTATTTGCATATCTATGCTTGCTGTTCTTCTATTCACAGCAGTAAGGAAAGCGAATCAATACAAATGTCCATCAAAGAATGTGGGTAACGCATTTGTAGAACATACTGTCTTAGTTAGGTTTTCTATTGCTGTGAAGAGACACCATGGTCATGGCAGCTCTTACAAAAGAAAACATTCGTTGTGGTGGTGTGCTTACAATTTCATGCGGCATACCATGCCTGTCTGCACTCTATGCGCCGCCATACCGTTCGTGAACCGGTCGAGGGACTGGAGATTGAAACACACAAAGACACACAGAGACAGAAACACAGGTCATCCTTGATGCCCAAATCCTTGAAACGGGAATGCCCCAAGAATGCCCCCTTTATTGTGTCCAGGGGCAGCTTTATAGGGATAGCCACGCCCCAGCCAAACACACCAGAAACCATTCCCCTGCCATCAGGAATGCCTGAGGGTCTGGTGCTCAGAGCAACTATAGGCACTCAGATCAGGGGAAAACAAGTTGTTTACAAGAAATTCAGAATCTGCGGGTTCACAGCTCCCAACAGTTTCAGAGGGTTAGCCCATTATTGCCATGGTGGGACGTGGCATCATGCACGCAGATGTGGTACTACAGAAGGATCTGAGAGTTCTTACATATTGACACGCAGGCAACAGGAAGTGGTCTGGTCTGACACACTGGGCATGACTTGAGCCTGTCTGAGACCTCAAAGCCCACCTCCACAGGAACACACTTCCTCCCACAAGGTCAAACCAACTCCAGCAAAGCCACACCTACTAATAGTGCCACTCCTTCGAGGGTCTCTTTTGCTTCAAATCACCACACATACATGCCATGGAATTTTGTTCAGCCATAAGAGAAATTTTCAAAAACACACGAAAGGAATGTAACTGAAAATACTGTCTTAAGTAAGTTACTTCGGGTTGGCAAATATTATGTGTTTTCCCATGTTTGAGCCTTTTCTTCTTAGCTTCTAATTTTAAGACATAAGTGTGTTAATTTGGGAATGATTATGTGTAGAGGGCAGGAAAGCAGAAAGGAGTCCCTGAGAGGGGGAGAAGGAGGTTCTAAGCGATGGGGATGGAGAACAGTTGAATGCATGTGATATAAAGTGGAAAAGAGACTAACCAGGGTGGAAAGGTTTTGAGAGGACTAGGTAGATTTGGGAGAGAAGTAGGTGAGAGGTAGGGTCAAAAGAAACTAAGTAGGAATGAAAAATACATAAAGGAAGCCTACTACTTTGTAAGCTATTTAAAACATAGATTTTTTTTAAAAATGGATTTTTAGATTATAATAAAGTACTCATCATATTGACCTGGACCAACAGATTGTTCTTCAGTGAAAGATTCTTAAGTGGGAGGACCAGAGGGAGAAGATAAGAAAGCCAGGGTCACAGGATCTTGCATAAGCTGCTTGGCTTCTGCCAAGCAAGTTTACAAAGTACAGGTTTTAGGGAAGAAATGGGACAGTGTCAGTGGAAAGCTATCACCCAATGGGACTAAGTCAGCAGGAGGCTAATCAAGCAATGTTGCACAAAGGGAACACCGAGTACCTCAAGACAATCACAGAAGGAGCACACAGAGGCCTTGGCACTGTTCACCATCGTTCCATACAGTGGGAAGTTGAGTTCTCAGGATCTGAAGCTACAGCTCTTCCAAGGCCTTCCTTGGCCCCAAGCATATTCTGGGTTTTAGGAAAGGAACTATGTTCCTCCTTATATCAAAACCCCAGAGGAAGCTCTAGTGTCCTGGCTCCAGGCTATTACTGCCACTGCCAAGCATGTTTCTAAGTTAGAGAAGGAACTGTGAAACTGAATATATCTACCAGCCACCCATAACCACAGTTCTGGGAACCACCATTCTAATGTCTGTTTCTGTTAATTTGGCAATATGTGTCTTTTTTAACTTTTCATTTAGCATGCTTTCCTCAAGATTCATCCGTATTTTTGCATGTGATAGAATCACCTCTCTTTTTTAAGGGAGAATAATAGTTCGCTTTGTGTACATGCCATATTTTGATTATATATCTGTCATTGGGCACTTGGATCTTTTCCAGTTAGTATTCTCCAGCTACTATGAATAAAGCTGGAGTTTAATTTTCAAAATAATCTCCAACCCCACTATAATGAGGGTTGACATTATTATATCTCCAATTTTGTGTCTGGCATGTGCCAGATACTAGTATTTGGCAGTGTGTCTATCTGTCTGTCTGTCTGTGTATGGGTACACTGTGCATATGTGTAGGACTCAGGTTTAAAACCCAGAGTCTTATGTCCTTTCAAGCACTGTATCACTGACTATGGGCCCTGTCGTGGTTCATTCTTATAGAGATGCTTTAGAAAATGTGATAGCTACTTTTGCCATTTGTTTGAAGGATAGTCATCTACTATAAAATGACTAGTATCTCCAGTTCAAAGTGGGCTCATGCAAGGTATGGCAATGTGTGCCTCTGTTTTTAAGATTTAGGGCTCCAAGGGAGAAGGGTGACAGGTCCTAGGGCAATCCTGAGCTTCATCAAAACCCTGTCTCCAAAAAGGTGAGTTCAAATCATTGTTTGATGATAATACTTTCTAGCTGAATTAACCTATTTGTAGGTCCTGATGGGACTATCTTATCATTATGGAGTCTTTATAGTATAATGGCCTCCAACCTGGTGGAGGCAGTTTCTCAGCTGAGGCTCCCTCTTCCCTGGTGTGTCACGTTGATCGGTCATCACAATCCGTAGATTGTTTTAATGAGTGGCAAACATCCATATTGTCTTCAGAATTTTGAAATTGTATTGGAGTTCCAGTAAGAAGCAGAAAATACATTTTTGACACTTTTGAAGGAACCATTTAAGAGGTGTGAAGAGAAAGAAACCTGAGAATTAGCAGCACCGAGGAAAATGACTGCTCTGTGACTCAAGTTTCAGAGAGAAAGGAGGCCGACTTGCATTGAGAGAAAGGATAGGGGAAAGGGGCTCTCAGCAGGACTCTGCAGAGAGGTCAGCTAAATACCCTGACCTCTTCTGCATTCTGGTTCCCCTTATCATTGCTTATGGTGGTCAATTCCTATTGGAAAACAGCTAATATGTGTACACAAGGTCAGTCTCGTAGGACACGGCAGCCAGGAAAGAAAGACCAAAAATTAGTTTGGATGGTTGAGTTGATAGGCAACTAGATAACTGCCATAGTTCATTCTTGCCAATGAAAATGTGGAAAAAAATTTCTTTTATTTTAAAAAGGTCCCATATCAATGGAAGTCCAAAATGGAAAGGGGCACTTTTATTAAAGGAAAGCTAGGTTTATATATGGTTCAAAGCATATGGAATCTGGCTAAATGGCTATCATTTACATTTTAGCATTTATAAAAGATGTTAAATGTGATTTCAGTAGAGTTTTGTTTTTATTTTGCAATAATCTTGAATGTGAATGTGAGATTAGGTTTCTCGCCTTAAATATTACATAACAAAGCCAACCTTTGTGAATAACCTTTCTTTGGATGCCAAAAAGAATCTCCAGTCGAACTTCTGAAGTATACGGACTCATTTCCTTCTTCTTCCCCGTATTCCAAAAATGTTCAGCATTTCTTACATCTCATGAAAGAAGACAAGATAATTTGTCTTGATGAATGTCAAAAGTGGCATCCAGATGTTTGAGTTTGTAGGCATCACTCTGTTCCCATTCTGTACCGCAATTATCTCCCTCGCAGATAATATTCCGGGAATGCTCAAGTCATGCATAAGCAGAAATGTGACAGAAGCCTGAACTGAAATAGCAGTGGAATTAGCTTGTCATTTAAGTGATGCCTTTAAATAATCTTCCCTAGGTTCACGATGGTCCGTAGTGGGAAAAATGGTGACCTCCATCTGAAGCAGATCGCCTATTACAAGCGCACAGGTGAATATCATCCAACTACACTGTCGAGTGAGAGAAGCGGCATACGGCGAGCAGCAAAGAAATTTGTCTTCAAAGGTGAAGTTAATGTCTGAATCTTAAATTATAGACTATTTCCCATGTGTGTTTGTAGGATCCTGGGAAATTCTCTAGTATTTGGTTACTGCTAAGCTATTGTCCGCTAAATTTTTAGAAGATCATGCTCGAAAGCAGCATAACAATCACAGTAAAGCTAACTGAAGACTGGTAAGCATGACAAAGAGCTATTCAGGGGCTGGAGAGAGAGCTCAGGAGCTAAAAGCACATAGTGATCAAGCTCGGTTTCCAGGGCCTGTGTTGGGCAGCTCACAGCCATCTCTAACTGCAGCTCTCAGGGAGTCTGGGCCTCTAGTTTTGGCATGTTCCAGTGTTCAAGTGCACATACCCACGCATATTCTCAAACACACGTACACACATGTATTACAATAAAAGCAAATATAGAAAAGAAAAGAAATGACTTATTAAATTGTAGATCAAAAGAAATAACCATGAAAATTGAAAACTTACTTTCTCTTGCTGTTGCCACCTAATGGTCCTTCCTTGATTGACCTTCAGGCACCGATGCCACGGTGTTGAGGAAGTTAGTTGATGCTTAGTATGAAAATGCTAACAGAATGAACTAGCTTGCTTGCTAAAGTACAAGAACGGAAGAATCTAACTGTATTCATAGCTGAGTTTACCCACATACCTGCCCCTCCCTCCACACTGTGTCATTAATTATTCTCAGGATTACCTTTGTTTTCTTGCCTTGACACTCCATCCGTACATTAAATATTTGAGAAGCAGCAGGGCAATTATGAGAGTTGATGACAGCTTTCCCTCCTTTCCACCTCCTTCAGCAGAGAAAGCCAACTGAGCATGAGGTAATTAGAAGGCACAGTCAACATAGCCAAATGAGTGCTGGCGCTATTAGTGGCAGTTCTGCCTAGAGATAGAGCATTAGGCTTTTTCCAAATCAGGTCAGAATATAATGTCATAAATTCTAAAGTTATAAATCAACGCCTGTTTGTGTCTCCCTATACAGATTCCTGCCAGTAACTCCTATTCTTAGCAATAGACAGACCTCTTCCACTAAAGTGGAGGTTCATTCTTTCATTTGTCCATCCATTCATTTTATCATTTATATTTAAAATGTTTGTTGAGTTTCTCTGGTATCCCAATCTTATTCTAGGCCCAGGAATATACTAATGAGTAAGATAGGGTTTCAGCTGTCCAGTTGCCTACCTTCTAATTTAAGTTCTATATTTATTAATCACCCTACGATCTTAATGATGTATTCTGGAGTCCGCATAGCTACCCCATATGAACTGTGAGATAATTAATGATCCTCCTGTTCCCTATTTGTTTCTATGCTTATATGTCCTCGAAGGAAAGGAGAGCTGAGAAGCGTGTTCCTCTCACTATGCCACCCTTCCCTTTACTCAACTCAGAACAAGGGAAGGAACGGGTACTTACAGAAAACAGCTATAATGAGTTTTTTTAGAACATTTTGTAACAAGAAGCTCCTCATCTATACAGAATACACTTTATAGCCTAAGCCATTGTCAGTAGCTTCTACAAGTATCTCCCTAATTTGAGTACTCCCGTAGACAGGCCATTTCATATTCTCATAGTTATCACATACATTAGTGATAGGCTTACTCTGTTTCCATTGATTCCTACAGAAGTATAGCACCTAAGGGTCCTTCTGGTCTTCAGAATGCATGACAATAGCACTGCAAGTAAATATTCTGTTTCAAAGAAGAGTGTGTAAAAATAAAGCTAAAAGTCTTCATAGTTTTAAGTCTATAGTGACCTAAACATTATGGAGCTTTGAAATTACATGTATTTTTTTTGATGTCATTCATTTCAGAAAAAAAGCTGTTTTATGTTGGAAAAGACAGAAAACAAAATCGTCTGGTAGTTGTTTCAGAAGAGGAAAAAAAGAAAGTCCTAAGAGAATGCCATGAAAATGGCACTGGTGTTCATCACGGAATATCCAGGACTCTAACTCTAGTGGAGTCGAGTTACTACTGGACTTCTGTGACCAATGACGTCAAACAGTGGGTATGGCTTGTGTCTGTAGAAATTTTTTATTGTCTTTCTAATAAATCCAATTTTCACTATTGCTTAAAATATACTGTACATATCACCTATGGGGTAACTTTATATGTTATTTTTGAACTAAGAAAATATTTAAATCAAAGGTAAATTTATTTCTCTTTGTAATTATTTTAAATCAGTAGAGTATAAATTAAAACTAAGAGAATTCAATATTTTGATAGGAAATTATTGAGAATTGGAGCATTGATCTCCATTTTGTAGGCAGAATTCAATTGAGGTTGAAATTCTTTTGCTGACCATTATATCCCCTTTTTTTCAAAGAAATATTTATTTATTTATTTACTACATATATAGTATTTTGCCTGCATATATGTTTGCCTCTGTAAGAGCAACCCATGCTCTTAACCTCTGAGCCATCTCTCCAACCCCCAACTATTATATCCCTAATGCCATCATGAATGACTTTATATGATATATGATCAAAATAAGTATGTTCATAATAAATCAATCCCAGAGTAGATTCCTCGCTTTTGTGCCATTCCAAATATAGAAAAATGTCAAATCTAAATGGCAGTAACCTAAACTCCAATTATAAGTGTTCCATGCATTCTTTTACAGCATTCAGTGAAATAAATATAGAAAGATTTCAATTTAAAAAATAAGGCTATTTATAAATGGTGAATGCATTTAAGTTGAAAAGTGAGAGTGATCAGCAAGAGTGATTGTGATGAGCCCTTTTCCAGCTCACTAGCCCACTCCCATTTTCAGGAGTGCTTTTATGTAGAATACAAACACTATCTCTGTTTCTATTACCTTGAAAAAGAATTATTTTGGTCATAATGATGAAGGTTTGTGTTTTTATTTTTGTTTTCAATTTTTTTTTAGAACTTGGTTTGAAAATAATTTCCAAAGTGAAATTCTGCAAATGTTTTAAAATAGCACCATCTATAAATTAATCAATTGATCTCTTCTTAATCCTCTTACCAGTGGTTCTCAACCCTCCTAATACAGAGACTTTTTAATACAGTTCCTCCAGTTACGGTGACCACCAACCATAAAATTATTTCATTGCTTCTTCATACCTGTAATTTTGCTGCTGTTATTAATCATAATGTAAATATCTGATATGCAGGCTATCTGACATGTGACCCCAAGGGATCAGAACCCACAGGTTGAGAACTGCTGATTTAAATAAAAGCTTCATGAGACCTGGATTTTCACCAAGACATAGGGAAGTTTCTGGGATCTATAGATATTACTTAACTAAAATTACAGTTCAGCAAATATTAGTGAAATAGATGGATGAATGAACTTTAGAATAAAAACTGTAGGAAGAAATGCCATTTGTATGTATGAATTATTGCATAGCCTTGTATCCTGGCTTAAAATTATAGAAAATGAAATGCTTCATGGTAGCCCATTAAGAGATTTTTTTTCTGTTTTTATGTTCTTTCTTCCTTCCTTTATTTTCTTTCCTTTTTTTTCAGTATTTGAATTTACTATGTTGCTCAGACTCTTTGACTATGGCGACCCTCTGGACTCAGCACCCTAAGCCAAAGGCTTACAGAATGGGCTACCACAGCGAGCTGTAGAAGCTTTGTGCATTAATTAAGAACAAAATGATCAAAAACTTTTTCTGAGATCTGTTGATTTAATATTTATTTGAATTTGAATCAGGATTATGTTCCATTTGAATAAGACCCCATTGAGATTGTTCTTTAATCAGAGTAGCAATGAGGAGACCCTGTGGTGCTGACGTTTGGACTTACTAGCCACACAAGTGTAATGACCGACAATTGCTTGTTGTTCTAAATAAAAGACTTTATTCAATGGGCTGTTCTCATGCCAGTAAACTTCCTATAAAATACAGAGTACCTGTTGACTGCTTAAGATTTCGCTTTATAAAACTGACTTCTTTTACCATGAATATCTTAACAATTATATGTGTTTTCCTTGTCATGTCTCTGTAGGTATACGCTTGTCAGCATTGCCAAGTAGCAAAAAATACTGTTCTGGTGGGACCTCAGCAGCACCTTCTCACAGTGGGAAACCCATGGAATGTAGTTACTGTTGATCTCATGGGACCTTTTCATGCTAGCGACAGAAGTCATGTGTATGCTATAATCGTGACCGATTTGTTCACAAAATGGATTGTGATTTTGCCTTTATGTGATGTTTCAGCGTCAGAAATTTCCAAAGCTATTATCAATATATTTTTCTTATATGGACTTCCTCAGAAAATAATAATGGACCAAAGAGATGAATTCATTGAACAGGTAGGACAAAGTGCTTGCATTTGGGAGCAGGTGTCACTCTCAGTGTCTGACACACAGTTCTTTATGCTTTATAGAGTATGTAATATATTCAAATAAATTGCTATAGATATGCAAGTATATAATATATTCTCCTAGATTTGTTGAACTAGAAATTAGAAGAGCAGGATTTTTATTATTATGTTACCACTAAGTAATTGTAAGCCTATCTTTTGATATTGTCAAACTAAAATGTTATGATTGAACCAGATAATATTTGTTTACTTCAAGCTTAAGAATAACCAAAAATAAAAATATAATAAAATAATATTAACTAAAATGAAATAATTGGACATATTTATATTATGTTAAAAATACAAAGAATAATTTTATATGTACATATTATATATTTATATAGGTAACTGTGATAATAGGTATACAAACTAAAAGGCTTTATTAATGCTCCAGATTGAAAATAACTGAGTCATTCAGTAGCCACACATGATATGTGAAGTATAGTCAGAGCAAACTGGAAAACAACATGGAGAAGTAGATTCCTCATTCATTCTTCATTTCAGCAGTTAATTAAATTTATAAACACAAAATCTAAATTTTACCAAGCGGCTCATGATAGAATGATCCCGTGACGCAAGTATCATCTAGTCTCCCACATAAGAACGGGTGAGGAGTCATGCTCAGGTGCGAGCCGCAGAGAATATTTTCCCTTTCCTACAACCAGATGGAATAGAAGCTTCCTTTGTACTCCAGTAGAAGTGTTAGCTGCCTGAGGTTGGAAGGACAGCCGTGCTCAACAGTGGAAACTCAGGCTCCCAGCTTCTGCCTTCCGATCTCTGGAGTGTCACTGTGAGCCTTGTGCTGAAGTGTGACTGCTGGAGCCCACATCTGATTTCAGATAACGAGGGAGGACAGCGGGCAGAGAAGAGAGCTGGTGCTGGCGGAGTCTGTGCAGAAATCTAAACTTCCGGCCTTTTCTGCCGCCGCTCCCACACGACCACTTCTACCTTCTACAGACCTTGGGAAATGCAAGATATAGAAACTTTAATTTTCTTATTATTCTGAGAGTTATTTGTAGAAAATATTCTTCCAAAGAGAAGTTTATTAGCTGAAGGTTAATGAAATGAAAAAAAAAAAAAAACAGAATTGGGGAGCATCAAGGCAGGAAAATAGTTGTTCTGTGTTTGAAAGACTTACTGTTAAAGTGTCCTAAACTCATACTGAATTTCTTGAGGTCCTGGCCATAAAAATATTATTATAACAGCGATAATAATTGCCATTAAATTCTATGAGTTCGATACTCCTTACTGAGAACTATTTGATATCTCACAAGCATTACTTTGTGGTGAACACGTGTAGGCAGCTGTGGATAGGCTTTTTCTCAACTTAGAAATGAGGAAACTGAGTGCAGATGTTCAGTGACTGTGTCGTGTGGCCTTGTGGTTCCTTGAAGGAAAAAAAAAACTCAAAACAGTCTACTGAATTGAAAGTTACTTGACCACAAGGTTCGTTTGGAATTCTGTTGTTCCATTTCCTGTTGTGCGTGTATATTAGGTGCTTAGACTCCCAAAGCTTAAGCTCGTGCCTTTAAGATGGAGTTAATAATACATCATAAAGTCATCCTGACATGTAGTAACGAAAATAACACCTAATGTGTGGATCAGCACTTAGTAAGGATCCAGTCAGTAGAATTTTACCCAAAATGCTTTCATATTTTAGCTGAATGCCTGTGGTCAGTGAAAGACAAGAGTTGGGTTTCTTGAAATCTTTTTTAAGCCAGAGGATTAATACGAATATTGAACAGTCAGTTTTGTTTTTTGTATGTTTCAGATCAATACAGAACTGTATAGATTGTTTGGTACAAAACAGATTGTAATTCCTCATGCTTCTGGAAGCGTCAATCCATCTGAAAGTACACCGAGCGCAGTCAAAGCCTTTCTCACCAAATACTGTGCCGAGCACCCAAACACCTGGGATGAACATCTGCCAGCGCTTTCCTTTGCCTTCAATGTGACTCACTCAGAGCCTACTAAGAACACACCGTTTTTCCAGATGTTCAGCCGGAATCCTTGTGTGCTGGAGTGTCCTCATGAAGCGGGTGGTGAAAATACAAGTGTGTTTGCCAGAATCGTAGCTGCAGTTAGAGAGGCTGATGCAGTACTGGAGAAGAAGACACCGTCGGCCGGCCAGGTAATTCGGTCTACTGGGAAAGTTCTGTGAAGCCCTACAAAAGAGGAATCGTGTTTAAAATCTCAGCATGTGGACATGTTCATGTATGTGGACTTGATATACCCTTAAGCAAAAACTAAAATGTTTTTCTCTTCCAAGTTCTTCTTATTTTGGTTAAGTCATATGCTTGTTTATTGTTTTTTTGTGTATGTGCTTTATGTAGATTAGGATGTGTTTGTGCAGGTGCATGTGCACATGTGTGAGCATATGTACGGAGGCTGGTGATAGACATCCACTGTCTGCCTCACTCTCAGTCTTAGCTTTTGAGTCAAGGTCCCTCCCTGAACCTGGAGCTCCCTAATTCAGCTGCATAGCCTGACCGGAGTGCACCCGTGTGTGCCAGTCTTGCCCCTTCCCCTCAGCTGCTGAGGCTACAGATGTGTGTTACTGTGAGGTTACAGATGTGGTGTGTT